GACGCAGACGCAGACGCAGACGCAGACGCATCCACCGACGCTCGCCTTCCGTCCGTGCGTGTTTCAGAGCGTCGCACCAAACGAACACACACGCGTCCAGCGCAGCGCCAGAAGCGCAATGCCAGAGCGCAGCGCACCCTCGCTTTTCGGCTCGCCCGCCAATTTTGTATTTCTCATTACAGCCGCTCGCTTTCAACCTGAGAGCCGCCTGCAGGCTGCCAAAGTTGAGCTGGATTTCAATTTGGGCTTTGCAGCCTTTCTCGCTTCCACACTCGCTTTGGCCCGACGCTCACCACCAACAGCGCCGTACGCCGCACACTCTCGAGCCTGTCAAGAGAGCTGTACAAATAAGTTTACAGAGCCGGCGACGTCGCAGCTGCGAATAATAATACAGGGAGGTTCCAGAAACATGCTGGGGATGCGACGGTGATGTACAGAATGCAATGCAGAACGGAAGAATGGCGACACAAAGGGCGCTTGCGCAGCGTGTTTTGGTGATCAATTGACGAGTTGACTGTGCGTAGAGCAACAAAGTAAAGCAGAGTTAGCGATACTTGCTCTCGATCAACGACATGGCGACGTTGGGGAAGAAGCGAGCTTGGTGCGGATGGGCTCAGTTGGTGATGCATGTTTTGAGCAAAGCGATCTTAGCCCCGCCACTGCGAAGGCTCACAGCTCGGTGTAAAAAAAGTATGGGAAATACGTTCATCAACGCCCGTCCGGCATGCCAATTCCCCTTCTGTAACGGGAGGGACAGTACCAGACATCGGTGTTTGGAGGATGGGGAAGCTCGAATGCTGGAACACTTACGAGTTGGCGGAGGATGTATAGACTGAAGTCTACGTAGTCTCTTGGATTGGTGGTGTGCGATCCAACTGCAGAGGACGACAGTGCCAAAGTCAGCATCGCTGGACTCGAGATTGTTGGTTTTGCATCTGCGAGTATGTCCGTGCGGATCATAGAGAAGATTAATGCATCTACGGACGGTCGAGGTGGCAACGCACCTTGGCAACCCTGCCCAACACGCTGCAGCAACCGACCAAAGGGACGACGCGAAGGCTTCACACCGCGTCGACGCCTCGGAGTCTTTCGCATGCCGCCGAAGCGAGTTAATCGACACCGAGTCGGATCGAGCGCAGCGGCCTAAACGCGCCTATACGTCCGCCTTGGTCCGAAGGAGCTTGCAAGCCAGGTCTGCAAAGGTGGAGTCCGACACGAGGCAGTACTGCACCGGTCCTTTTTGCAAAGGTCCAGGTACACCCACGCTCTCGCGAGGTCGAGACTTCGGCACACCCCCACCCCCTCAGAGAATGGATAAACTAGTTTTAATCATGACAAGCGCCAGCTGTCACTTGCAACTCCAGGACTTCGAGTTCGAGCTGGCGCCTTGACATGGACAAGAGAGGGAGAGGCGAAGATCTGCCACTAACCTTTGAGTGTTGGAGGCTCGAAAGCGTAAGAAGTGCGCGACACTCGGTCGACGCAGGACTGTCAAAAGCTAATCAGGAGCAACAAGGGTGAGGTCAGCTGTGATGTTCAGCGACGTCCGCTTGACAGCGCCATTGAGAGCGAGTCGGATCCAAAAAAGCAGATTTGGCGAGGATCAACGATGCAACAACCACCGACCGCCGGGAGGCCAACTAGCAGAAGGTCAACCGGATGCCAAAGTCATCTAAGATTTTGGTATTGGTGTAAGTTGTCCACAAGAGATTGCGAAGTCTCTTTTCGGAAGCAGAACTGAATAGTTAAGTCTAATCCTTCAAAGGCTCGGTCGGGTGGTTGCGAGCGATTCCTGCTGTCCATGCGCGTCTGCTCTTTTGATCCCACTCGCTCCAATGGTCTCGTCAATCCGCTGTGCGATGCTTACCTGACGTCCAGTGGGAGACGACCATTAGGCTGCCGCCGCGACGGTGGTGTTAGCGGTGTCGATCTTGTTGACCGGCACCTCGTCGTCGTCGTCGTCCTCAAAGTCGATGGGGTCAAAGACGACGCGGATGATGAGCGAGCAGCTCGGACACCTGGCGACGTCCTCGGCGTCCTTGAGCTGCTGGCGCGTGATCTCGAAGCGGTCGCCACAGGGACATGGGTAGTGGAAGAGATCCTTCTCCTCGTCATAAACCATGTCCTCGAGCTCGATCTCGTCGTAGAAAGAGACGGGCATGATGGATCCCTGTCACGTTTGAGGTCGTCACCTGCGCACCTAGCGGTGCTCGTGGAAGAAGCTTATGCGAAAGCGCGAGAGGAGCTCAGCTCCGAAGCAGCGCACGTCGATCGAGATCAATGACCGATCAGCGAAATTGCGAAGGGAAAAGGCTTGTGACTGAGGCCGGGTATACTGGTACGAAGGGGGTTTGACTGGTAGGTGGCTGGCAAGGAATCAAGCGCAGCGCTGCCGTTGGATTTATGGGACGCTTCCACTGAAGAAATCCTTCGCTGAGCCTTCGGTCGTGACTGCGGATTCCAATTTTTCAAGCCTTCCAAAAAATGGCTTGATCACGTGAGAGGGCAAACCACTCGCACGACACCGAAAAGTTCGAACTCATGTTACGGTCGTCTCAATTCACATGCCATAAAAGCCTCCTCCACATCAGGAGTGGGTCTCCGGGCTGTGTCGGTGACCTCACGCAGGCGGGCTCCGCGGCTCGACGGCAGCCGTCGATCCCAAAAAAAGCTCAGTGGACTCACATGCATGCGACGCCCGGCTTTCTGGACGACTGCGCCCTCGGCCTCTGTAACCTCGAAGCGTCCCTGGTCCGCTTTCCCTGCCAACCATCATCTCTTCACCAGTCAGGACGTCCCGGACACGCACATCGATCACCGCGCAAGCACTGTCCAGCTGCCAATTCCGCATCGATTCAGTGCAGTCGCAATCGGTCGTCCCGAGCTCTCCCCACACTTGGCTCTCTCCAGCTTCTCTGTTGGACGGTGGCTAACCGCACTTGCTCCGACATGTCGTCTTCCGGAGATGTGCCCACGCTCAAGATCCTTCTGATTGGCGCCTCGTCCGTGGGCAAGTCGTCGCTGCTTCTACGCTTCACCGACGACGAGTTCCTCTCGCCCGAGGAGACGACGGCGACGATCGGCGTCGACTACCGCATCAAGGGCATCGAAGTCGGCGGCAAGCGTTTCAAGCTGTCCATCTGGGACACGGCTGGGCAAGAACGTTTCCGCACCCTCACTTCGAGCTACTACCGTGGTGCACAGGGCGTCATAATCGCCTACGACGTCACGCAGCGCGACACATTTGATGCGCTGCCCACGTGGTTCAACGAGTTGGAAACGTTCACAACCAGCGAAGATGTGGTGAAAATCATCGTCGGCAACAAGGTCGACAAAGAATTTTCGCGAGTCGTGACCACAGATGAGGGGCAGGCGTTCGCGGACAAGATGGGATGTCTCTTTGTCGAGTGCAGCGCCAAGAAGGGGGTGGGTGTCAACGGCGCGTTTGACGAGCTGGTCAACCGCATCATCTCGACGCCCTCGTTGTGGCAGAAGACGGCACCGGGTGACAGGAGGCCAGGCGACCGCATGCCCGGCGGCGCACCGGCAGCACACGCCGCAGATAGCAGCAGAGGAAACGTCTCGTTGACAGACCCAGGCGGATACGTCGGGTACGGCCTCGGCGTCGCAAGAGACTCGTGCAACTGCTAGCCGCCATCTCACCCAGTTCCACATACATGTCTTCCCCAGCACGCAAGCGCCGTCACCTCCGCCATCCCCTTTTGCGGCTTTTCTAATTATTCCCGCTTCAGCATATTGGCACCAGTCGTAATTTATACCTCAATCAGCATCCTTACTCTTTTTACTCAACACCATTGCTCGTGACACGCTGAGGATATTGGGGACGCAGAATCGTATTAACAGGTATCGATGGGATCCAAGAGTCAAAAAGGAGTGTGAAGTACGCTTTGTGTGCGTGGGGAAAAAGGAAAAACGAGGAGGATTTTACTTGTTTCGCTTGAATCGGCGGAAGAATCCTTTGCCTCCGGTGGAGCTTGCATTGCCAGCGATGGCGGGGGGTGGGGCGGTGGGGACCGTCATGTTGCTCTGGCCGGCGACGGGAGGAGCTTGCGGTACGGGTGGCATGACGGGTCGGTCCTTGGTGTCAAGTGCACTCAAGTTCGATGCGGTGAGCGGTGCGGGCGCTTGAGCCGGAGCAGACGCTGTGGCCGCCGGCTGGCTGGCGCTTCCGCTCACTATCGACGCAGGCGCAGTGACCGAGTACATCGACGCCGACGGCACAGCTGCGGGACTCGCGCCAACCGAAGAGCCCGGCGCTTTGGCAGTATACAGACTCGACGACGATGGTACAGCGGCGGCACTGGCACCTACGGACGATCCAGGCGCTTTGGCGGTATACAGAGTCGACGAAATCGACCCAGGCGCCGTCGGGACATACCCGATCGAAGCCTGCGTCGTCGGTGCACTCGCCTCGGCTGCAACCGCCTTCTTCTTGGAGGTGACGCTCGCCTTGGAACGAACCGACGCCGCATCGCCGGCCTTCTTCTTGGGTTTGGCCGTGCCCATCGCCTCGCCCCATCCGCGCGTGGCGGAGCCAAACGCCTTC